CAGTGATTTCAATCCTCAGAATGACTTGCAAGCAGCCTCCAGGGCTCACCGAATAGGCCAGAACAAGTAAGAGATTTCCACTTGTCGGCTACTCAGCAGTCTGGTTTGGGGAGGAAGGTGGTAATCCTGTGATAGTCGCAGACTGGAGGCTGAGAGACTGCTAGGGGTTAGCCCGGGTTTGCTGCTGGCTGGGCAGGGCACGTTCTCACTCAAGACTTGCTTTGTTAAGCAGAGCAACATCAAATTGTGAAAGGACTAGAAGGAACCTTCAGAAGTTATTGAACTCATCCTGCCTGAGTTAGGGTCTAACTCAGTTAAAAAAATGTGTGGTGTGATGGCACTAAGCTGAAAAGATGGGTCTGACCCTTTGACCTGAAGATAATTTAGGTTTACCAGAGATTTTCTTTTGCCACAGATAAGGAATCCCAGTTCTGACCGTCTCCTCATCCCTTCCTTAACTCTTTTAGACAAGTCTAGTGAGACCCTATGTGAGGTCAGGTCTCTCTTAACAGTGGCTCTGTCCACGGCTAACAATGTCCCTTTAAATGTGCCCCAAACATGGCATTTTGGGTTTATGTCCTTTTAGGTGCATCAGCCTTGTATGCTTGCACCCATCTTTGCAGACTCCGGTAGCACACTCCTCTCCTTTGACTTCTGTACAGGTCTGTTAAGGTTATTCGGCTGATCGGCAGAGACACCGTGGAAGAGATAGTTTGTAGGAAAGCCGCCTCCAAGCTGCAGCTCACCAGCGCAATCATGGAGGGAGGGCATTTTACCCTGGGAGCATCAACTGCTGACCTCCAGGTATAGTAGGTTGTTCTTCACTTCAGAATATGTCAGGTTTGTAGTCAGTGCTCTCTGTGGATGAGAATGTAAGTGAAAAGAACTAGCGTTGTCCTGGCTGGTATGGCTCAGTGAGTGGGGCGTTGTCCCATGGACCAGAAGGTTGCTGGTTTGGTTCCTGGTCAGGACACGTGTCCAGTTTGTGGGCTCAGTCCCAGTAGGGGCATGCAGGAGGCAGCCTATCGATGTTTCTCACGTAGATGTTTCTCTTTCTCCCTCCCTCTCCATTGCTCTCTCTCTATAAATCAACAAAAATATTTTTTAAAAGACTAGCATTCATCACCCACTCTCCTCAACTATACATTTGGTCTCTGGCCAAACTCTTCCTCCTCTAGTACCTATTGCATGCAGGCTGCCGTAGAAGCTAGAAATGAATATGATATAGAAGGGCGGCAAAATAAAAAATAACGATGTGTTTTGGATCCATCTGACTTGGATTCAAATCCAAGCTTTGTCACTTGTTGACTCTGTGGCTCTGAGCAGATATCTTAACCTCTTAGCTCTAACAGGATCTCTGACTTCTCTGTGGCTGTTGAGAATGCCTATGAAAAGGACTCGGTCAGGAGGGCAATGGTAATGCAAGAAATCACTATTATTCTTCAAAAAAAGAATTGGAGGCTCATAACTTGTTTTTATTATGAGAATTGTCAAAATCAACATTTCTGGCCATCATTTATCATACTTTCTGGTTAGCCATCATCCAATTGTTAAATGGCTCAGTTGGTTTCTTATCATGGGGAGAGAAGAAACGGCCCACCGTTAGGGAAGGAATATACCTGGTGTCACTTGGCAAATCCCTGATATCCCGGTGTTTGACTTCATGAGAACTGACTGGACTTTGTTTTCTCCATTCAAGTTGGGTGAGATACTCAAATTCGGTTTGGATAAACTGCTGTCCTCTGAGGGGAGCACCGTGGATGAAATAGACCTGGAGTCTATCCTGGGAGAAACAAAAGATGGCCAGTGGGTCTCTGATGCCTTGCCGACCGCAGAGGAAGGAAGCAGAGAGCAAGAGGAAGGAAGTAAGTCGGGGGTGAGGGCAGCACAAAGGGCACAGCCTCCCTGGGCTAGGACATGAGATGAGTCCCCATGGAAGGTCCTCAGTACTGCTCTCTGGGACGTCTTTTTCCTACCCAGCCTGTTCTCATCTTGGGCACACTCTTTAAGACTGACTTGGTCCAGGAACTCTTTCCAGACTGACTGGGCATTCTCTGGCTATTCCCGAATAGCTGAACTTTGAATCAAGGTAATGACATTGATGCTTATGTAGTATCAACCTCAAGGATCTTAGTTTGTACTTTTCCTCCCTTGGCTGCAAGCATCTTCTTCTTTAGTAGTAAATCCAACTGTCCTTAGTATGGTGCTTTCCGTATAGTGATTCCCTTTCTGAATAGTAGGAGGGCTTGTTTTGTTTTTTTTTTTAAAATATATTTTATTGATTTTTTACAGAGAGGAAGGGAGAGAGATAGTTAGAAACATCGATGAGAGAGGAACATCGATCAGCTGCCTCCTGCACATCTCCTACTGGGGATGTGCCCGCAACCCAGGTACATGCCCTTGACCGGAATCGATCCCGGGACCCTTCAGTCCGCAGGCCGACGCTCTATCCACTGAGCCAAACCGGTTTCGGCGAGGGTTTGTTTTTTAAGTTACAGTTAACACTGAGTGCTCTGTGCTCAGTCAAAAGTGTGACCTCTCTCATGTGCTTTATACACCGAATTTTCCACTTACTCTTCACAGTACCCCATGAGGTGCAGGCACCACTTCATTTTAATTTTTTAACGAAGCAATACATGTAAATCATGAGATGATTTGGTCATTCTCTTAATTTTTCTGAGTTTGGTTAACATTTGTCTGTTTCTATTCTGAATATTTGAATTTCTGATTTGAAGGGTTCCCCCCCCCCTCCCATAGTAGCTTTGTAAGGGTGTTCCCTGGTGCCTTATGATTGTTTAGAAAGGACTTTATTTTTTTGTACCAGTGGCAACAAGGATTCAGTGTGGACTTGGGTGAGGGGTTTGAGAGTCTAACTAGGCTTCTTAATTCAAGAGAACCTTATCTCATGGGTACAGAGATCAGTTTCAGTGTCTTCACTGGATGGGGCCTCCTCCTTTTTGGTGGGGAGTAGGGTTGATGTGACTTCTGGTCTTGGGTTCTCTTGTCTCTGTATGACCCCAAGTTTTCATCACTTGCTTCCTTCCTACCTTTAGCCATAATGCTGCCAAGGCATGTCTGCCCCTTCTAAGTTGTCCAACTGCCAAAAAACAATTACTCTTTCAGGCAGCCCAGTATGTGTGTACGTTGGGAATTGCCTGTAATATGAAGCTACATATGTTGATCATATTTGACACTATCTCTCGGCTCTTTATTTTTTTCAGCTCTTGGTTTGTTTCCACATGTTGATAGAGCACCTCATTGAAAGTCCACTATTGATTTAATTAGCAGGTGCCAATTAGAATTACAGCTGGTTGTATTTGGGTATACGTGTGAAGCAGTTGATCTCTTGAGAATAAAAATATTTTGCTTTCGTACTCTCTAGAGAAAACATAGCTAATTTCATAATGCTGTGAAAATATATGCTTTGGTAATATATACTATTAAGTACACTTCAGTTTAGAATCATCATTTCACCTCTCTGTGGTTGCTAGTCTTGTCCTGAGTTTCCTTTATCAGTGATTCATGATCTTGGCAGGTCACCCAACCTCTTTGAGCCTTTGTGTTCCCATCTGTAAAATGGTGCTGTTAGTGTCTGCTTCTTCCTTTTAAACAGTTGTAGAAATCTAATGTGATAATGATGTGAAAGTGCTCTGATAGCATAACATGCTAATTCAAGATTACACTATTGCTGTTATTGTAATTGGCCTGTTATCTCTTCTCCTATAGACACAGTAATATACTGAAAAGAGTACACTGGCCTTAGAGTCAGAAAATTCTGCCTTATTTATTAGCAGTAAACATTGGGGAGTCCCTTAATCCCTGTCTTGGTCTCTCTCCATTTTCCCTTAAGTGAAGGTTTAGTTACACCATGATTGTGGTGAGGCTCATGAAAATGCTTTTTGAGATCTGGAAAGACTACTGTAAATCTAAGGGATTATGTTTATGATTCCTCATTTTTCTCATCAGTTTGCCACTTGCTTCTTTAATATTACAGAAAAGGGGGGCAAGAGTTGAGTATTAAAGATGTGTTCAGAATATGTTCATAGTTACTAATGTCGGGAGGTTTATGCTGAGGAATAGTGTGGCATGAATGAGTGATGAGTGATTCAAAACTCAACAGGATGGAGGTACTCATGGACCGTGTAGAGATGACCAAAAGGGCTTTAGCCGTGCTCTCGCCTTTGAAAAATAAATGTGTGAGATCTCCATTTGGCTTCAAGCCTGTCTGTCAGTGGGATCGGAAACGCAGCACCTTCATCACAAGCTCGTCTTGGCTCATGTAGAATATAGGCTGTTCTTTGTTCACCCTGGTTATGGCTCTGAATAGAATGAATCAATTTTCTATAAATACCTAACATTTCTCTTTTTCTGTTTTATATTCTTAGAAAATCACATGTACTTATTTGAAGGGAAAGACTATTCTAAGGAGCCCAGCAAAGAAGACAGAAAATCATTTGAGCAACTGGTGAATCTTCAGAAAATCCTTTTGGAGAAAACTGGTCAAGAGGGCCCGTTACTCCGAAATAAAGGCAGTGTAAGACTATCTATAATAATAAAAGCGTAATATGCTAATTAGACTGACAGTGAACGACCATTCAGACGTCCTTCCAGACAAAGTCCGGCCTATGAGGGCCGTGTCCCTTGCACGAATTTCATACATCGGGCCTCTAGTTAATTTATATAAAAGAATAAGTTCTTTCAATTTTTCATTCTAAGTGAATAAAAAATTATACTGGGTGTGATTGTTTTTTGATAGTAAAAATATATTTTTATGGATTTCAGAGAGAGGAAGGGAGAGGGAGAGAGAAACATCAATGATGAGAATCATCCATCAGCTGCCTCTTGCATGCCCCTACTGGGGATCGAGCCTGCAACCTGGGCAAGTGCCCTGACTGGGAATTGAACCCTAACATCCTGGTTCATGAACCCTAACAACCACTGAGTAACACCGGCTGGGTTGGATGTGATTTATTAAGAAATAAATTGTAAGCATTTGTTGAAATGTAAGTATTATTACCTTGGCCAGTGTGTGGAGTGGTCTCCCTTTCACCATCTGCCTTTCTCCAGCCTTCAAGCCTTCAGTCTTTCTTTTAGTCAAGATGAGTGATAAGCCAGACTTGTCTGAAGTGAAGTTTGACAAGTCAAAACTGAAGAAAACTAATACCAAAGAAAAAATTATTCTCCCCCCAAAGGAAACTATCCAGCAGAGAAAGAGTGAGTTCAAATATTGTAAAACAATCTTGTCTGAAGAACAAATTTCAGCATTGCCTGACTGCCTTGGATTTGGGCTTGTTTTTGTGTTGTAGAGATCTTAGGCATCGTCTGATGTCTTCTCACTCATACGCCCTGGCTAAGAGGTCAGGGGTAACCAATGTTCTCTTACATACAATTTTAAACTCCTCATTGCTGCATAAATTCCAGCTGGCAGACGGTGTTTAACCTCACATTGATGGCCTTCGTGTGTGTAGTCCTTGCACCCCCTGTAGGATGAACCACTTGTAACCTTCTAGGCTGGATGCTTCCATTGCTCCCTGATCTTTACGAAGTGACATGCTTTGGCAGCTTCTTACAGTTTATTTCGAATGTAGCAATAAGATATATACATAATCACTAAACACAAGAAATATAAGTGTGATTAACTGTACTGTAATATAAAAACTATGTAAAAAGTTGGCATAAAAAACATTAGGAAGGAGAATTTATTTTGCCTCTTACTGCAGGTGAAAGCAGCTTGTCCACTTAAGCCACCCCTGGGATCACTGTGTTACAGCAGTATACGTACCCTTCTCTCGATGATCATGACTCATGTCAGTAGGAGAGGATCGCAATCACACTATATCTCTAATGTCCATATTATTTATGGGCACTTAATATGTACTCTTTGAAGGCTAGCTATAATTAAGACAATCATGATGTTGAAATACTCTGTTTAGGAAAGAAATATAATACATTGTACGAAGATTTTCATTAAAAAAAAATGGTTAAACCTAAAATGGCATCCTGCAAGGTATGCTTTCCATACCTTTAAAAAGTGATTTTTCTGAAGTGCCTGATTATTAATGAAATTAATCAAAATGGCGTATAGCTTTACCAACCATGCCAGCCCTTTGGCTGAGTTCAGAGCTCAGTGTCCTGGTCGCCATGCCTTTGAGATGTGTGATGGAAGTGTAAATTGAAGTGGCATGGAGATGCAGCGTTTTGTGGAATATTAAGCATGTTGCTGCCATACAGAGTGTGCTCTAGGGAGGAATGAAACTCATGAAGGAACAGGCAGCCCCCAAACTTCTTGGTTATAGATCTCGTTCTTCCTGCAGGTTCTCATGCCAGGCCTTGTGGAGGGGTCTGCCAAGAGGAAGCGGATTCTAAGTCCTGCAGAGCTGGAGGAGAGAAGGAAGAAAAGACAAGAAGCAGCGGCCAAGAGAAGGAAACTAATAGAGGAGAAGAAGAGGAGAAAGGAAGAGGTGGAACATAAGAAAAAGTATGTGGGCGTTATCTGACTGCATTATCAATAAAGCTGAGGATCACAGTTGGTAAAAGAATCACTATTGTATACTGAGTCCACAGTGGAACATCACTTTAAAAAAAAAAGCATTGATTGATTTGAGAGAGAGGAGAGAGAAAGAGACATCGTTTGTTGTTCTACTTACGCATTTACTGCTTGATTCTTGTATGTGCCTGACTAGGGATTGAACCCACTACTTTGGTGTATTGGGATGACGCTCTAATCAAATGAGCTACCCTGCTGGGGCTAGAACGTCATTTTAAAATTGCAGGGGGAAAAATTGCAGAAAACTTTTATAAAGCTGGCAGCTCCTACTGGTAACAATATTTTTATCATGATTAAACTTTAACCTAAAGAGTTTACTGAGGTGAAAAGTCCTGAGTGCCTAGGCAGAGAACGTACATTCAGTTGAGGCAAGAAAATTAAAGACCTTATTGTAGCTAATAAAAAGTGGTTTACTCACAGTCCCTTTCAGTCATGTTCTTAAGAACAGGGACATCTGGTGGCTGCTCATTCTTGCAGTATAGACAGGAAGCAGTCAAGCTAATGGGTAAGCCTTCTTGTTTATTAACAGATTGGCAAAAACTCAAATCAGGGCGAGTTTCCAATTGCATTTCCACTTGGCACTCAATGTTTGTGAATAGCGATACAAAGCGTGCTCCACGGGAAATGGTGGTTTGCCTGATTAAATTCCTTTTCTCTCTGGCCTGTTGAAGGATGGCCTGGTGGGAGTCCAATAATTACCAGTCCTTCTGCCTGCCTTCCGAGGAGAGTGAACCCGAGAATCTAGAGGACGGGGAGGATGAGAGCTCAGTCCAACTGGATTATGAAGATTCAGACTCGACCTCCATCAAGTATGTTAGTGGTGATGTCACCCACCCACAGGCTGGTGCGGAGGATGCTGTGATCGTGCACTGCGTAGGTAGGAGAAATGGTACGGGCTCAGGGTGGGGGCCTGAGTCTTTATGGTGCTAAGAACTGGGGAGGATGAAGCAGAACCCTGGCCTAGTGCAGTCTTGTGTGGTCAAAAAAAGTGTGAATTTTAGAATCAAGAGACTTGGATTTGACCCTTGTCTCTCCTTTACCTGGTTGAGTAACCCAACCTTCCTGGGCCTCAACTTCCCTATCTGTATAATGAGATGATACTATCTACATTATTCTCTTCACAAGGTTTTTAAGAGAGTGAAAGGAGGCAACATCCATAAGACAAATGAATCCTTTGAGTAAAAGCAGAATTCCAAGCCTGTTTCCCCCTCACAATCTTTGCACTTTTTTACTTCCTCTGCCTAGAACCCTCTTTCCCCAGTTAGCCACCATCAAGCATTGTTCAAATGTCTGTGTGTCGGAGAGATCTCCCTTGCTTGCCTTCTACAGAACAGACCCCTTCCTCACGTCTCCATTTCTCTATCTCCTTTCCTACCTTATTTTATTTGATGACACATATCACAATCTGACATTATGAATTTGACTGTTTGATTGCACTAGAGAATAAGCTTTAGGGGAGCAAGGTTTGTTGTCCACTGCTCTAACCCTGGTGCTTAGAACAATGCCTGACACGTAATACACGCTAACAAATATTTGTAATATGAATGAATGACTCTAAATACAAGGTACTAATCAGCTATGTTAACACCAGCCTGAATGAATCACTTAACCTCCCCTCTTCCTTACCTGTAAAATGGGAGTCACGTATTGTTGTAAGTACTAGTGCTACAACTCTCTGTTTTGTTACATCAACTCTCCACTCTTCCTCTGTCATCTCCCAGGAATTACAGAAGTTCTACAGAGATTTTGCTCTTTCAGAACACTAATTTTTTCGATGCTTTCCTGTTATGATGGCTGGGTATATTAGAGAAAATCTAAACATATTTGAGAAATCCAACCTGGGGTATTCCTAGGAGATTAGATTGATTTTTTAAAGGGAAGAAAAAACTTCCTTCTAGAGCAGTGGTTCTCAACCTTCCTAATGCCGCGACCCTTTAATACAGTTCCTCGTGCTGTGGTGACCCCCAACCATAAAATTATTTTCGTTGCTACTTCATAACTGTCATTTTGCTACTGTTATGAATCGTCATGTAAATATCTGACATGCAGGATGTATTTTCATTGTTCGCGACCCACAGGTTGAGAACCGCTGTTCTAGAAGTCTAGTTGGTGTAACTTTGTTGTTTTTTAATTGTGGACTGGACTTGGCCTCCTATAGAAGAAAATTTTCTCTTTCTTCTGTCAGATGACTCTGGACACTGGGGCAGAGGTGGTTTATTCACAGCTCTGGAAAACCGATCCACTGAGCCAAGAAAAATATATGAGCTGGCTGGGAAAATGAAAGGTAAGGAGCAAGCAGAGAGAAGGGTTAGGGATGGAATAAGAGAGGACACTTAGATTACGTATCATGTGGGTTTAAAAAGCAATAGAGAAGGAGTCGGAAGATCTGGTTGGAGTCTGAATTCTGTCATCAATTAGCTAGTTGTAATGTGACTTTGAGGCAGTCCCTTCCCCTCCCTGTGCGTGTTTTCTCACTTATAATTTGTGAATAATGGGACTATAATGAGGATAATGAATGTGCCACTGCTTTGATAAAAGTTGATCCCTGCATGCATGTTAAAGTTTAGGATTTCATTGCTTATCCAACTCACCCCATCTTCATAAGGCAGTGGTCGGCAAACTCATTAGTCAACAGAGCCAAATATCAACAGGACAACGATTGAAATTTCTTTTGAGAGCCAAATTTTTTAAACTTAAACTATATAGGTAGGTACATTGTTATTAACTTAATGAGGGTACTCCTAAGGCTTAGGAGAAGCCACACTCAAGGGGCCAAAGAGCCGCATGTGGCTCGCGAGCCGCAGTTTGCCGACCACGGCCATAAGGGAATCTCTCATGAAAATGTGAGAGCCTATGGGAGAGAAATCAGACACACCGTTAAAGTGCTAACAGAAGCTGGGTGCTGAAGGGAAGGAGGCTGTATTATAAAGAGCACAGGAGGGGTGAAGCTGTTTGGTGCCGGGGGATTTGGAAATCTGAACGGTATTCTCCCTTGGCCTAGAGAAGGGGTAAGGGCACTCCTCTTATGAGCAGAAATCACAAAGTGGCAAAAGGAGTAAAATTATTTCCAAAAGAACTTGAGAGGCTAAAGGGCCTTATTCAATAGAGAAGGGCCCTTCACGTTTCTCAGAGATTTTTTTTTTTAATTCTTCTGCTCAGTTCTCTAGAAAGGACTTAGAATGAATAAAATACTCTTTCTACTAAAACAAATTACCGGAAGATGGCTTTTAATATGTGTTGAAATAATTAACCCAGGTCTACATATTGATTGGGCAGTTAGAAAAGCCCAGAGGAGGTCAGAGCTAGAGGTGCAGATGGAGGAGTATCGGTTTGGATCCTTGTTTGAAACCAAGAGGGAGATATGATGAATCTGGGATGGAATGCATGTCCTAACAGCCTAAAATGCACTGTTCTATTTATAAGAAGTTTATGTAAACCCTATGGTAACCACAAAGCAGAAACCTAGAGCAGATAAAAAAACAACAAAATGAAACGGGAAAAAGAGCATACCAGCATAGAAAATAACCAATTTCGAAAGACAGGCAGAAACAGAGGGAAAAGAAGAAACAATGGAAATGCAAAACAACCAGGAAACAGTTAATAAGATGGCATTAGTAAGTTATTTTTATATATCAGTAATTACTTTAAATGTAAATAGATTGGATTCATGAATTAAAAGGCACAGAATGGTTGGATGGATTAAAAAATTAAAAGACCCAACTATATGCCTCCTACAAGAAGACCCACTTGAGCCTTAACAACACACAGACTGGAAGTGAAGGGATGGAAAAAGATATTCCATCTAAGTGGAAACCAAAAGAAAGAAGAGTTCGCTATACTTATATGAGACAAAATAGCCTTTAAGCCAAAAATGGTAATAAGAGACGATGAAGGTCGTTATATAATGATATCCTAAGTACATATCACACCTACGGATATTAAGCAAGTATTAACAGATATGAAGGGAGAAATAGACAACAATTCAATAATAGTAGGAGACGTCAACATCTCCGTTTCAGCCATGGATATGCTCTCTCCAGATAAAAAAATCAACAAGGAAATGATGGGCTTGAACCAGACATTCGATCAAACAAACCTAACGTGTATAGAGTATTCCATCCAAGGCAGCAGACTATACTTTCTTCTCAAGTGCGTATGGAACATTTTCCGGGATAGATCATATGATAGGGCACCAGACAAGTCTTAGCAGAATAAGAAAATTGAAATCATACCGAGCATCTTTTCTGACTACAATGGTATCAA